GGGCTGGCCTGGCACAGCTCAGCTCAGCTCTCTCAGATCTCTCGGGCTGCCCTGGCACAGCTCAGCTCCCTCGGAGCCGTGGGGCTGGCCTGGCACAGCTCAGCTCAGCTCTCCCGGAGCTCGGGGCCGTGCTGAGGCCGGGCTGACACGGCCCCGTGTCCCGCAGGCCATCGAGAGCTTTGCCCTGACGGTGAAGGAGATCGCGCAGATGCTGCAGAGCTTCGGCACGGAGCTGGCGGAGGCGGAGCTGCCCGAGGACATGCTCTCCATCGAGCGCATCCTGGCACTGCGCACCGAGCGCTACTGCCAGCTCAAGGTACGGCTGGGCACAGCCCGCTCTGCCTGGGGCGGGGTGTGCCCGGGGCTGGGTGTGCCCACTGCCCACTGGGGTGTGCCCGGGGCTGGGGTTGTGGGGCTGCGCTGCCTGCTGGACTGGTGCCCAGTGTGGGGTGATGCCCAGTGTGGTTGGTTGGTGCTCAGTTTGCTTGGTGAGTGCCCAGTGCTTGGTTGGTGCTCAGTGTGGTTGGTTGATGCTCAGTTTGGTTGGTGCCCAGTTCGGTTGATGCTCAGTTTGGTTGGTGCTCAGTTTGGTTGGTGCTCAGTTTGGTTGGTGCCCAGTTTGGTTGATGCTCAGTTTGGTTGGTGCCCAGTTTGGTCGATGCTCAGTTTGGTTGGTGCTCAGTTTGGCTGATGCTCAGTTTGGTTGGTGCACAGTTTGGTTGGTGCCCAGTGCTTGGTTGGTGCCCAGTTTGGTTGTTGCCCAGTTTGGTTGTTGCCCAGTTTGGTTGGTGCTCAGTTTGATTGATGCTCAATTTGGTTGTTGCTCAGCTTGGTTGGTGCCCAGTTTGGTTGTTGCCCAGTTTGGTTGTTGCCCAGTTTGGTTGGTGCTCAGTTTGGTTGGTGCTCAGTTTGGTTGATGCTCAATTTGGTTGGTGCCCAGTTTGGTTGGTGCCCACTGCTCCCTCCGTCCCCCGTGTGGGCTGTCAGGCGAGGCAGAGCCCAGCCTGGCTGTCCCTGTGCCCTTCCCCGTGCCATGCAGCGGGCAGGTCACGCTGCAGCACCAGCCAGCTCTGTGAGCTGCCAGCCCCTGGTGCCCGCAGCTGCAGCCTGCCCCTCCCGTGGGGTTGCACAGCTGCTCTGTCCCCTGCCTGCTCCTGTCCCCAGCTGGGTCCCTCTGCTCGCCCTGGCTGCAGAAAGCTGCACAGAGCTCACCACAGGCCTGGAGGGTGCTTTGTGCCCGGGTGCCTCTGCCTGCTGGGCACTCAAGGGAGCTGTGCTGGAGAGCAGCCAAGGTGAAGGTTCTGTGTGAACACACGCTACACAGCATCCACCCTATGATCCCTTGTCTTCATGAGAGCCTTCAGGTTCTGTCTTAAACAGCATTTGTTTCTTGAATATTTAACATTTCTTTTTCAACTCTTTGCTATTGTGATTAATATTATCACAGGAGTCAATGGAAGGTGTAGTGCAGCCAGCTGCTGCTTTATCAGCCTCTTGTCTTCGGTGCTCCTGCACCTCTCAGGGAGCAGCAGAGGCCCCAGACCCTTCCTTCAGATGCAATCACTGTGGTAATAGTTGTTCTGTGTGGCTGAAGAATGAGCTGCTTTGCTTTGTGACAGGTTTCATTTACCTAAGTCAAAGAATTGTATCTATTTTAATTTATAATAATTTGTCATTCATGTGACAGCGAGTTCCCAGAAAGCTGCCTCTAAGAAATACTGAAAATGTCATCCAAGTTGTGCTGTGTGTAGGCATAAATACGTTGTGCATGTTTAGAAAGTATCATTATAGATACTGTCAATGGGCCTCCATCTCTTCTTTGAAAATGAAGAGAGTAATATGAAATAGCAGCCACATCTATTGCAGCATGTCTCAGTGATTTCAGCTTCGTGCTCGGGACCGTGGCCACAGTGCAGGGGCAGGTGGCAGCTCCACGGTGTAGGTGAGCAGTGTATAAACCACTCAGCAGTGCCCACTTGTCTCTGTGCAGAAATAAAACTCATCAGGTGCTTTCATTTGCCTAGAAAGCACAGCAGCACTCGGTACAAGCCATCTGTTGCTTTTAACTCCTCATCTATTAATTTCAAATATCAAAACCACTCATTGGCTTTTGTCAGTGAGGTCTGTTGGCTTTTCTATTTTGTTCCTTCTAGGACCATGAGACACAAAAGCAGATGAGAAACTGCACAGGTTGTGGTGACAGCAAGACATGGGATCCTTTTCTCTCTCAGGACAACCCCAAGACTGGTTCTGAATTGAATCAATTGATTCCTGAATTCAAATATTTAGTAAATCAGAATAATTGATGTAGCTGTGATGCTGAGCAGAAACTGGCATCAAGCACAATGAAAAAATGACAGAAATTACTTAAACAGAGTAACTAAGAAATGAATCCCACTGATATACTGGACAGAAAAAGTCAAGTTACCACCTGTTTGATGGTCTGGCCACTTTTCTTTCTGGATAATGAATGGCTTGGAATCAAAGAAGGAGCATGGGTCTCTGGGGAGTGAGGTGAAAGAGGAGGAAACACCATTCCCCTGCAGTGTAGAACATGCTGCAGCATTTCCCTGCTGGGTGCTCTGCCTAGGGCAGTGTCTGAAGGAGCTGGGGTTGTGCCTGTGCCCATCTCCAGGGTGTTTGGTGACAGGGCACAGAGTGGCAGTGGACACTGGGTGGGAGAGGTGGGTTCTGCAGCTGTGCTGCTCCTGAGGCTGATGTTGTGTTTGGGCTGCTGTGAGCTATCTGGGGCAGGCAGACACTGGAGCAAGTCAGGGCTTTCTGAATCTTCTCCCTGAAGAGATTTTGCCGTTGTTTCTCTTACAATAAAAACCTGGCCATCTCCTAGGATGGGCTCTGACTCCTCCAGGACCTAGCTCTGCAATGGAACCATACACAGGTCACTCCTTCAGGGCCTCCTCCACCTCAGTTCATCAGCTCCATGTGTTTTCTCACTCCTCATTTCTGTGTTTGGCCCCTTTTTCCTGGGAATAGTTGACTCAATGCACATGTTTGCTTTGGGGCTGAGCCCAGCCAGCACAAAGCACCTCAGCTGACGCTGATGAGGACCCCAAGGGTTTAAATTTTCCCTGAGAGGTTGTGCTGGGGGTGTTGACTACATGTGTAGAGGCTGTAGTGAGTGGTGCTGTGTGGGCTCAGTCCTGGCTTTGTTGCCCCGTAGGATGCTCCTCTGACAGCCTCCTCTCCTGACCTGGATGGAGAAGCACAGCCCTCAAGCTGTGGACAGTCTTGCTTGAAGCCATGAACTGGTGGGCAGAAGTCTCACACCAGCAGCAGCTGCTCATCAGGAGAGAGCTGGGGCAGTGCTGGCCTCCTGAGTTGTTCTGTGGCCTGGTGTATTCATGTGTGACATTTCCACCCAGCCTGGTGACCCGTCCATGGCTCAGCCCCGTGCAGCTCCAGGGGTTAATTCCATGTTAAGAGGACAAAAACATCTGCTGGGAGTCCTTTGGTCTGTTGGGTATTGCTGCTCTGTTTCACACAGGGAAACTGAGGCAGGGGAAACACAAAACGACTCATCCTTACTTTGCACTAAATAGCCTGAATGAGAAATGTTTTGTGTGATACAGGAAGATATTACAGCGGTCACAAAGGAGGGAAACCTGCTTTTGAGCAGTTTTGAAGAGCCAGACTCAGGGGAATGCAGTCAGGAGCAGCAGCAAGAGAGGCCTGGGGACTGGGAGACGGTGAATCGGTGAGTGCACTGTGTTCCTCATTTCCCCGATTCTTCAATGGAAACACCCGAATTATTCAGCTGTGGCTGTGTTGTTTAGGTTGCCTATCAGAGACAAAGACAGCAGAATTTTGCTGCAGTCCGTCAGATTGCTGGGTGATTTCTCTCATGGTTTGACTTGCTCTGATCTTTATCCCCACTGCTATGATGAGGCTGTGGGGCAGATGCAGGGTTCTCCCATGCCAGGCTCCCAGGTTTTACCCAGATAAATGGAGATAGCAGCAACTGCTTCACACAGATGCTCTCCTCTGCAGTGCTGATTTCATTAAATCTCTCTCTGAGATCCTCTCAAGTCACATGTATGTGTCTGTTGACTTCTGACCTTTGGGTGCAGAAAACCTGTGTGGGTGATATCTAGGTCTGGTCCATCTCTGCTCGTTCAGATTGTTCAACCTTGTCCTTTTTCTGTGCCCAAGGTTGCTTGGTCAGCTGCGTGAGATGGAGACTGCTTTTGATGGCTTCTGGGAAAAGCACCAGTTAAAAATGGAACAATATTTACAACTGTGGAAGTTTGAGCAAAGTTTTCAAGAGGTAGGCTCAGATGTGCTTCTGTTGGCAGAAGGGAGAGCTGGAGATCCGATGGAGAGAAGATTTAATGCTTTTTATTTTGAGGCTGTTTAATTTATGCTGCTGTTCCTTGACTGTGGCAGGGCTAGCCAGCCTGGGGAGACGGCTGTGCTTCCTCTCTGAGAGCTAATTTAGGAATCACTGCCTTGCAGTCGCGTGGATTTTGCTGATGGGAGCATCTTTGAATTTAGAAATTAGTTCTTGGATGCTAGTTGTATTATTGGATTTAGCAGTCTTAGCCCAAGTGTGATTAATTTTGGGCTCAGAAGGATTTCCTGCCTGTGCTTTGTATCCTTTTGCAGCAGTCTCCTTCTTTGTGTCTAGGTCAAGAATGCCATTGAGTTTTTAATGGGTCAGCAAGCGGAGCTGCCCGACACCGGCGACAGCATCCCCCAGGTGAAGCAGAGGCTCAAGGACCTGGATCATTTCCATGGCATGGCTCAGGTGAGATAGTCCTGCTCAGAAAAAGCACTGATGAAACACAAGAGCCACGCTCTGTGCTTGTGGCAGGAGGTGTTTGCTGAAATCACCTGGTTCTGGTGTAATTTGTTGTAAGTGCTGCACAAAAGGATTGATTTCATGTCTCTGCTCTGAGCAGCAAGGCTGTGATCACTCTGAAAGCCAGAAACAGGGTATTTAATTATCAGAGTTAAAATAAATTGCTGAGCCACCGTGAAAATCCGGAACAGATAAATGTCTGAACGTGGGGGAGGCGTGGGATTTAATGAGCTGGAAGAAGAATTTTTTATATTTTAAGTGCTTTAGCTATGCTAATAGGCAGAAACTTGTTACCAGGCACATGGAGTTGCAAAAAAAGTTGTATCCTGATGTCTCTGTGACTTGAACATAACATATGGGTGAAGACTAAGAGATGGAGGGGAAAGAAGAGTGAAATGATTCACAGGAGCCCAGCTAAGGATGTGACCTTTGCAAAGGGATGTGCTGGGCACCTGGGCCAGGGTCAGCAGAGAAATCCTGAGGGGTCTGGCCATAGCAGAGGAGAGTTCTGGCGAGAGGTCTGAGGCTTGCTGGCCATTTGGAAGGAATGTTTGGGGAGAGGGGGAGGAGGATCAAAAAGCCAGGTAGGGTGCAGTAGGAAGGCCAGCCCTGGAGAAACCAGAGCCATTACATGACTGAGGTGTGCAGAAAAGATCCTGTGTTCTTGGTATCAAGATAAACCCTAACTCCTCCAATTCCTTGGATGCCTGGGAGCACGGTGGCCTGAACTGGGCCTGAGCTGCAGCTTATTCAGGGTGTGGTGTCTGGAGGGGCAGTGATGCACGGCCAGCAGACACTCAGCGTTGCTGCTTTGGTGAAATACTCTTTTCTCCTTCATCCTCCCTATGGGTGGCAAGGTTTCCTTCCCAGATGGTGGGTACACTTTCTCCTGTGTGCTGGCTGCTCCCTGTGAGCCATCTCCAGGCGTGCCCGAGCCCTGGGGAGGTGGGAGCACCCGTGGGTGGCTGTGTGGGCTGTGCCCCGTGTCCGTGGGTGTGCAGCCTGGGCTCTCCCTGTGCCCGCAGGAGCTGATTGGGAAGGCCCAGCTGGTGATACTGCACGGGCACCAGCTGGCAGCCAACCACCACTACGCCCTCAACCTGATCTGCCAGCAGTGCAACGAGCTGCGGCACCACTCCGACCTCCTGGCTGAGGACATCAAGAGGAAGCAGATGCGCCTGCAGAAGACCTTGGAGCTCCATACCCGCCTGCAGCAGGTAGAGTTCAGAGACACAGGGCTCTGAGGGGATGGCTGGTCAGCTTCTCCGTGGGGTTGGCCTCTCTTCTTCGCTGGCAGCATCTGAAATGTTCACCTTTTCTTCAGTTAATGGTAGGGAGGTGTTCCCCAGAGGCTGGAGGAGTGCCACACCCCTCCCCTAGCTGGGGGTCAGCAAACAGGTGTCAGCTGGTGCTGTGAGGGCAGCAGAAAGAGGTGGGCATCTCCTCAGAGCACCAAGCTCAGCTGCTGCTCTTGGTGGTGCTTTCATGCTACATCTGTGTATTAATTGACTTTGGAGGTTTTCATGCCCAGTGTGACAGAGGTGATGCTCCCACAGAAACTCCAGCCCTTTTTCCTGAGTGATTTATTAAAAATGAACATAGTTGAATGTGAAATAAGGTGACAGATTGGTAGATAGGTGCAGTTGATCTGTGCTACCATGGAAGTGGAGTCATGTGGCTCCAACGCTCTTTGATATCTTAATCAGAATCAAATATTCATTTAGGGAAATTCACGCTAATTAGGCCAGAAGGCACATGGCTGTAATGTGCTTGAGGCCAATTAAAAAAACAGTGAATTTTGACCCTGTTGCATTTCCCTGTTTCAGGGAGCTGGGGAGCTCCTTTTTCTCTGTGTGCTCCACTTGAGCATGGTGCTGCTCTGTGGGGACAGGCAGCTCCTGGCAGCCTCTCAGCTGCAGGGCAGGGGTCTGTCCTGGGCTCCTTGCAGGCCTGGTTGGTGCTAGGGTCTGGCTTGGGCTGTGCTGGAGCACAGCATGGTCCTGCTCTCCATGTCTCCCGTCCCATTGATAGCACTGGGAATTCTCTGTTGGTGGCTGGAGCATCCTCTCAGCCCTGTGCACACCTCGGTGTGTGAGTGCCAGTGAGCCCCAGTTCAGGTCTGCACTGAGCCCCAAGAATGTGCCACCCTCCCTGTAGGGCTCACTTCAGCTTTCCCAGGAGAAACAAAAAGCTGCTTGTTTAAACTGGGGCCAGCTGTGCTCTGGTACCTCCCTGCCAGCTACAGCACTGGCTTTAGCCAGCCACAGGTAGGAACAGCTTGGCTGGCTCTGCTGAGGGCTGCAGTCACCTCACAGAGAAAATGGGGGCTTTGTGCCATCTAACCAAACCACAGCAAGTGCTGAGGTCTTTGGGAAAGGCTGCATCCAGCCCAAGCTGTGACATTCCTGGTGGGACCCAGGGTCAGTGGAGGGGCTGGGGTCTTTGGGAGAGGCTGCATCCAGCCCAAGCTGTGACACCCCTGGTGGGACCCAGGGTCAGTGGAGGGGCTGGAGGCTCTCACTGGCTGTGCTGTCCCAGGCCCTGCAGTGCTGTGATGAAGGTGCCTACCTGCTCGCCAACCAGCAGATGGACAAGTGCCAGTCTAAAGAAGGTGCTCAGAAAGCTCTCCAGGACATAGAAAGATTCCTTGAAAGCTCTTCATGCTACCTAAACTGTGATCCCCAAGCCCTGCACTACGACTTTGAGTCAGTTTTAACCTCCGAGTTGAAGGTAAGCAGGGCCCAGCCCCTGTCCCAGGAGCGGGGAGCAGGGTGGGACATGTGGCAGCGCTGTCACTGTGCTCTGGGCCAATGCAGGTGAGGCTGTCACTGAGCTCCCTTCCTCTGCAGGGCCAGATCCAGTCGGTGCAGGTGAAGCTGGAGAACGTGCGCAGCATGTTTGAGAACAGGCAGTGCTGCTTCAGGAGGCTGCTGGACAAGCACGTGCGGCCCGTGCAGCTGGTGGCTCCTCGGCCAGAAAACCCCCCCCGGGCCAAGTCCCCCCTCTTCTCTCCTAAGCACGGTAACAACCTGTGCAGTCCTGGTGTTTTCAGCTGGTGACTTTGCTCTGAGGCAGGAAGAGTAAGGCTGAGGATGGTTTTGAGAAGCTAACTAAGCCTTGCTGGCAGATAGGAAGTTATTGGATAGTGTTAAATATTTATCAGGGGATTTATTAACTCTCCAGTGTTTGTGTTCCCATACCTGCATGAAGGATGGAGTTGGTTGCTTGTTATTCATCTCCACTTCCCACTCAGTGAAAAAAGAGCTGTAAGTAGTGCACACCTCCAGTTCTGCTTTACTGGAAACTGGTGAATTAATACCACAGGGAAAAAAGGGCAGGGTTTATAAATTTATTAGCTTGCCTATTCTCTGTGGCTGTCTTGAGCTGGAACTGACATAAAGTTAGACTGATGCTTGCAAAGGAGCTTGGAGAAATGAGGAGCTCGAATCTCATGAACAGAAATGAGCTGGATGCTTAACTCCTTTTGATTCCTTCAGGGTGTCTTTCCTAAATCCCAATTGTGGAATAATTATGCCCATAAAGTTACAAATTTTCACTGAACTGAGGTCACTGAATGTTCTGCCTTAGTTTTGGTAATGGGATGTGGCACCATGTTAGCTTTAAATGATAACATTAAACTCAGGGCTGCCAAGGATGAATCAGGCAGAATTAAGAGATTCCAAAGTAGCATCCATGTGTTTCCAACCAGGGACTTGCTCAGTTATGTCAGAATATTCAATTCAGTGATCTGACTATATAAAAGCAATTAAACATTTGTGTTTTAACACAAGGTTTTTATGATGAATTAACAAATATTGGTTATGGTGAGTTGTAGCAGGTATCATACAGCAGCAAAAGCAGCTTCAGTTCAGGGAATGAGAAATGTAAATGGCCAAGTGGAGGGGTGGGAATGAATCTGGATGCAATGAAATAAAGCTGAAGATGCAGGCCAGTGCAGCGAATAAATCCCAGATTTCCTCTTCCCAGGCTGATGCCACCCTCTCCAAAGCACATTACCTTCTGAAGCCCTTTCTCCTCAATCAGTAAAAGCTCTGATTCTTCAAACTAGAGCACTGCCATTTTACCTAGCACAGCTTTTCCAGCTTTCTAGAAAGAGGAAAGGGTAAAAGGCAAATATTGACCTAAAGAGTGGGGTAAATGGGTGGCCACCCCTGTGGGATGTTGCAAGCTCACCGTCACTCCGCTGGACTTTTTTCAGGCCTTTATGGGACACGGGTTTTCCTAGCAGAGGCTCTCAGTCACCTGCCAAGCACAGGTGTGCTCCATTGATCCTCCTCCTGGAAGCAATGATCAAGCGTGGGGCAGACAAAAGGCTCCTCTTTGCAAAAGAGAGCTTTTTAATAAAGCCTGTTTGATAGCAAACATCAAACTGCTGCAGGCTGCTGGCGTGATGGGCAGTGTCAAAGGCACACGCTGAGCTCTGCTGGGAGTGCTTTGAGATGGATGGGTTTTATGGTGTGGCTTGAAACCAAACCAACTCTGAGCACATCGTTTTCGTCCTCTGTTTCTTTCTTCCTCACATTTCTGTGCCCCTTTCCCCCCTTCTGTTTCTGTCTGAGGACAGATGCTTCCTCTTTTATCTTTGCCCTGGATTTGAAGCCTGTCTGAGAAATGTGGTTCTAATTTTTAAACCATTTTTTGGGGGTGGGGGAGAAGAGTAACTCCATCCCCCTGAGCCCTCAGGTGTAGTGGATGTGCAGAGGTGGCACTGCAGGCTGTGGAGCAGAGGCCCCTTGCAAGGGAGGCTGGTGCCCGTGTCCCACCCAGCTCCAAACCCCTGTGCCCTCCTGCCAGGGCAGTCTCTGAGCAGGACCACTGCCAAGTCCTGGCCTCTTTTGGGTTCTCCCATGTGTGTGGGCCCAGCCACGCACACCTCTGGCCTTCTGCAGCCCCCAGACTCCCTGGTTACCCTGGTGTGATCACCTGCAGCAGCTGCCCCAGCTGGGCTCTGCACACCAGTGTGCCCCAGAGCCTGCCCGGGCCCCTCTGGGCTCTGCAGCATGTCCACATTGTTCTTACCAGCCATGGATGATGCCAACAGCTCACTGCAGACTGGTGCTTTGTGTCTCAGCTTCCAGCTCTCCTCTGTAGCTCAATTGCAGCTTGTAATCATTTACTGGCAATATCAATACATTCGTGCAAGATGGAGAAACAGTTTATTGCAGCTGAGCATCTTGTCCTACATTCATAAAAGAACTTTCAAACAGTGTCCTAGCAGGGGATGTTATTTTCTGTAGTTTATTTGCCTTTATTGTTTTTGCTGTTATCATCTGCTCAGGCTTCAGACACTTTGTTAGGTTGTGATTACTATGTTCCCTTAGGGAGCATTTTGTTTTTTCTAAATATTTGTACTTTATGGCCTTTATGACCATGGGATGTGCTATGTGGAATCAGTATTGTTTGAGATAAATACCCTTTATTTTGTCAGTTTGCTATCAGTACTAGCTAACTAATTATTTATTCTTAAGGTGTATCCCATTTTTCTTCCTGACTTACTGATTTCTGTCTGAAGAGTCCCCTTCACCATAGATGTACATTATGTAATTCTGCTTTTTTTCTATCCAAGGTGTAGATTTTAATTCCAGTTTGAAATTTTCATTTGATCTCTCTCTCCCTGGGAAGAAAACTTCAAGAAAAACTCCAAGTTCTCGCAAGGTAAAAATTAATGAAATCTGAGTTATTTTTATACAGGGAAAAACTGAAACTGCTCGGAACATTGAGCATACTTTGGATTTGGAGAGACTCTTTCTCCTTTTAAAAAACCCAATCAAACCCAAACCCTCTTGCATGCATGTGCTTTAGTTGGATTAGTCCAACACCTGAGCTCTGTGTTGACTGATTTTACAATATCCTGATACCTATTTCCTGTGTGTTGTTCCCTGAAGTTATTTCTTACATAACAGACGTGTGTATTAGGAAATATCCCCTTCCACAGATATTTCCCCTGTGGAAACTGTTCTCTGGCCTCTCCACTAAGGAATTATGTTACCAGTATTTTCAGATCTTGTGTAGCAGAGTAATTTCTGGGAACATTTGGCTGCCCATTCCATAAAACCCTTTACATAAAACCCTTCTAAGGTTTACTGCCCGAGGTTGTTACAGGGAAGCGGGACTCGTCCTTGCCCAGGGAGTTCCTGGCTGGCACAGGGCTGGGTTCCTCCTGCCCTGCAGGGCCCTCCTGCAGCTCTTCCCTGCCATGCATCCCTTTTCCCTTCCAGATCGAGGTCATGCACGACTACCAGGAGAAGAGGAGCTCCCTGCAGTGCTTCATTTCAGACAGCGATGACAGCTTGGATATTCTGAAGGGGTGAGCACTCGCCCATTCTCATCACCTAAAATTGTGTTTATTTCTGGCCAGTCCTTGCCCCATCCCCTCCAGCCTGGCCCAGCTGTCCTCACTCGTGCTTTTACCTCTCAGTTATTAATGAGATCACAAAATGGTTTGGGCTCCTTGAACTGCACTGATCACTCGTGGGACTTTTTATAGACATGGAAATAATGCACTTCTATTTTTTTTTTTTTCATTTTAGCCATGTCATAAATGAGCTTATAGAAACAGAGAGGGTGTATGTGGAGGAGCTCTTCACTGTTCTGACGGTGAGTGACTTCTCCAGGTTGCTCTTGTACAAAGGGCACCTGCCCCTCTGTCAGACTGAGCAAAGATGGGACAGGGCAGGCTTCCACCAGGCTGTCAGATCCCAATCTAGCCACAAATGCTCAGGTTTCTCCTTAGGTTGCTTTTGTTGGAGGCATCTGCAGGAACAGTTGGTGTCAGGATGAGCTTTTCACCGACAGTGAAGGAGAATCCTTCTATTTGTACACAAAGCACTGGTAATCAGCCTCAGCAGTGCCTGTAAAACATACAGAAAGCTGTTTCTTTTGACTGTTCCTTAATTTCCTTTACCTTGAGGAGACAAAAGGAAGCAGCTTGTGTTTTATCCTTGGGAGGGTTCTGTCTCAATACTGTGAACTTCATGACTGTATGAAGCACATAACTTTAGAAAGTTGATAATGATTGCTCATACCGTCATTTTAGACTTTACTACTTTATTCCAAAATAATTCTTGCTGATGGCCAAAACAAGCTGGCTGTTGAATAGCTTCCCCCACACACGTTTCTCTCACCCAGGAGCAAGCAGGATGTAAATCTGTTGTAGTCACACATAGTTTCCCTGCACTGATTGGGTTTTTGTTAAACCACTCTCTGTGGTGAAGCACTTGGCAGGTACACAGATTTGTTACAGTGCACATCGAGTTGAGATAGAGAAAAATGGACAGATAGACTTCAGTTTTCTGAAAATTCCCTTTAAAGAGGGAAGCCTGCTTGCTGGCAGTACATAAAAATGACTAATTTTCCAGATACTTATCATCTATTGCATCCTTAATAAACTACAAAATGCCTGCTTAGTGCAAGGAGTATTGGTTCCAAGCACAGTTACTGTGAGAGGTGAGTTTGGAAGGCCAGAGGAGATGTGCTGTACATGCTGAACACACTTTTGCTGCCCGTGTTGGAAGGGCCTTGGTTCTGTGCAGCCCTTGGTGGCCAGCAGGGCCAGCCTGAGCTGTGGCCAGTGGCATTCCTGGGGGCCTCTCTGCACTGCTGGTGCTGAGCTCTGCTCCCTGCACTGCAGCTAGGGAATTTGCCATATCTGCTGCAGTGATGGCCTGTTGCTCTAGGGAGCTTTACATTAAATCCTGGTTCCACCCAACAGTTTGTGTTTCAGTGCTGTCCCTTCCAGCTCCTCCCCAGTTTGGGAGCTCCTGATGCCAAGGGGCAGGAGGAGGCACAGGGCCCAGGATTGCTGGAGCACTGAGGAGCACTGGGTGACCCTTGTGCTCAGCGTGTCTTGTGCAGGAGCAAAGAGGCCACGGATTTTGGATCTGATCTTGAGCTGTCTCTGCTTTGCAGCTCTCCTGCAGGGGCTCTGGTGAGGCTGTGTGGAGCTGCACTCTCTGCACGCACACACACACACACACACACACTGTGTCCCATGTCCCCTGGTGCTCTCCCCACACATGCTCCTGTGGCTCCTCTCCTTTGGAGAACTGGGAGCATCTCTGCAGTGCTGCCAGCCCCTGTCCCTCACCTTTCCCCTCTGGACCACAACCCTGTGTGACCCCCAGGGACTGAAGACGGGGTTTAGAGACCAAAAACCAGGGAATAGAAGAGATACTGTGATGCTAGGGAGGGGCAAAATGACTCATATGATTTTAGAAGGTAAAAATGAGCGCTTATTCAAAAGCAATTCTCTCTTTTATAGAGAACATAATGAGCGTTAATTCCATTGGTCTTAGAGTAAAACCATTTCACCTGATTGGTGCACTGGGCTTAAGTCAGTGTGGTAGAACATATCTATAGACATATGAATGGAAAGCAAGATAATCAATTGCTCTGGGACTTTTTCCCAGGCTTAGCCTGGCAGAAATCTTTCTCTTTTTCTCTCTGACTGAACTGAGAACATCCACAATATTACACTTAGAAAGATCAGATTGAAAGTCTGTTCATGTCCCCTTTTGATCTGCCTTTGAGGGATGGCAGCTGAGTGGGGGCCCTTTTCCCTGGCAGGGCTACAGGGCTGAGATGGATAATCCTGCCATGCTCATCCTCCTGCCCCCCGTGCTGAGGAACAGGAAGGACGTTCTCTTCGGGAACATGCCCGAGATCTACGACTTCCACAACAAGTATGGTGCTGCTCTCTGCCCCTTCCATCATCCCTGGGAGTGCTGGACACCCAAACCTCCCCCTGCTCACGGCTCTGCTCTTGTCCCTTCTCCCTCTCTTGCAGAATTTTCCTGCACAGCCTGGAAAACTGCCTGGGAGCACCTGAGAGAGTGGGATGTTGTTTCCTAGACAGGGTGGGTGAATCATTTTATATAAAGCAGACTCAAGGGCCTGGGTTTCTGCTGGCTTATCCCACTCTGCAACACCTCAGTTATGCTGGTTGGGTGAGAGGCTCCTGGCCCTCAGGAGCAGCAGCCAGGCCAGCAGAGATGGCAGAGCAGCTGTTGTGGGCACAGCTGTGCCCCTGCTGTGCTCTTTTCACCCAAACTGTCGCTGTACAACTAAAGTTGGCAGCAGAGGAGGAAGAACACACAGTCTGGGTGCTGGCCTGAGCTGCTGCCTGGCAGGACTGGGTCCCTGAGGGTGACTGGCCCCTGGGCTTGCCTTGCAGCGGGAGGATTTCCAGATGTATGAGAAGTACTGCCAGAACAAGCCCCGCTCCGAGTCCCTGTGGAGGCAGTGCTCCGAGAGCTCCTTCTTCCAGGTGAGTGAGTGCTGCTGCTCCCCCCGGGTGAGTGAGTGCTGCTCCCCCAGGCAGGGACTCTGCCTTGTCCCAGCACTCCTCAGCAGCCCACAGCTCTGAGTTCTGTCTGTGCTGTGTGCCACATGCACACCAAATACCACAAAAGGAGATGCTGGCGTTTCTCCTAGCCCTGTACGAGGCAGATCCACTCACTGGAGTTTGCATGCTGTTACAATAGTTCTTTAGCTGTGGCTGCCATTCAGCACTTTGACATGAAACCTTTGAAGGCATCAAACCCCACAGCTGTGCTATGCTGTTGGAATATCTGCTCACAGATGCTGCAGAACTTAGGCTGACTTCTGTGTTCCAGGAATGCCAAAGAAAATTGGAACACAAACTGGGGCTGGATTCCTATCTGCTCAAACCAGTGCAGCGCCTGACAAAGTACCAGCTGCTCCTGAAGGTATTCAGTGTTCTGCTTCCAAAGGGCATCAGCAGAGAGATTAGATTTGGTTTATTTTTCAATTAAAGGTTACCTGTAAATCAGCACTGAGCTTTGGATGATGTATTGCTTGTCTTGGCCTCTCCTGAAGTGACTTTCAGTGAAGATGAATGTTCACATACCTGAAAAAAGACCAAGACCTTTTAAGAGGCCATTTTTTAAGCAGAGAAACACTGTTTGAATCTGCTCAGAGAGGCAAAATTACAGAAGCACCTGTTAGAAAACCAAGCCAGAGATGATCACGAGGATCTGATGAATGAAATAAATTGTTGCATCTCCTCTTCTCCTCGGGTGTTGATAGCACCTGTAATCTTCAATTTATCCTTGTGTCCTCCATCTGAGGCAGGGCAGTGCAGTTATTCTCACTTTGTAAGGCAGGAGTAACACTTGGGTAGTATCTTCTGAGCCACCTTCCAGCCTCTTGAATGAGCATGCATGCAGCTGGAGGTAAGCACAGGAGATCTGAAATGAAACTAATTTTATCTCGGTGGTAGAATTCTGTCCTCCATTTCCTGACCTGAAGGCTCTGGATTTTATAAATTCTGTTCCTTGTGCCTGCCAGTCTGGACAATCATCAGTGCAAGCTCCTTTGAGGGCATATTGGCACTAATGGAAAACCCCAGCCTTACTTCCCATATCTCACCAAGCAGGAAAACACAACACAAAGGAATCAGGAGAATGTGATGCCTCTCTATGCTGACACCATCCTAAAGGAAACACATTAAAAATATACCATCCCTCATTGAGCTGCTCCACACCTCACACTGACTGTGCTTTAGAGGGAGCCTTTTTCCAGTGCCATGAAAAAAGAAACTCGATGTAGGTCATTTCTGGGCATTGGAAACTTTGGGCAAGGTGGAAAAATCTGCTTTGTTAAGTGCAAACATGTGCCCTCCTATTTCTATTTTCAGGAGCTGCTAAAGTACAGCACGAGCTGTGATGGGGTTCAGGAACTTCAAGAAGCTCTGGTTGCAATGCTGGATTTGCTGAAGTCAGTCAACGACTCCATGCATCAGATTTCAATCACAGGATATGACGTGAGTACTCTGAGCAAAGAGCCCTTGCACAGGCTGGGTGATGCACTGGCCACGGGTGGTGTCCAGGATGTGGGAGCTGGCCCAGATCAGAACATGTAAGGTCAGGGAGCCCTCACAGGGGACAACCTTCATCTGATTTCAGGGCTGGGCATGTCCTGAGCTGCACAGTGCCCACACTTGCCACCTTGTGGTTTTCTAGAGAATTTTTCCAGTGTGCCCCACTGTGTTCTCATGGCTGACCTAACAACTCTGCTGGGATGTTTCTGTGGCATTTCCCATTCAGCACTTAACAAACGACTCTCAGGCTGAATTTGAGCCTTTTCCATCGGAGTGGTTGTCTTTTCTAGGGTTTCAGGGAAGCTGCTGATCCCAGGCCTGGCTCCCTGGAGAATTCCATCTTCTGATACCTCAGTTCAGGCTCAAATCTCACTTCTGTGTCCTACTAAAGTAGCCAGAGCCCTTGACATGCTCTTCCATAGGAGCTGGATGGTTTTCTGTTCCCTTTAGTTCTTCCAGTCTCTGACCTTCTAGCCTAGCTGCAGCCCTGCATGGGACCTGTGCTCCCCCTGGCACCAGGTCACCCCTCCCCAAAGCTCCTCTGATCCTTCCAGGAAGATCTATTCTTAGAGGGACGTGCCTTGGAGCAGAGCTGGCCCCGTGTCCCAGCATTGTTTGGAGAGTCCTCTCACATTTAATTCAGCTCTTTTTCCTTTTTTTGTTTGTCACGCTCTCCCCAGGGTGACCTGAGCGAGCTGGGGAAGGTGTTGATGCAGGGATCTTTCAGTGTTTGGGCAGGACACCGAAAGGGGCCCACCAAAATGAAGGAGCTGGCCAGGTTCAAGCCCATGCAGAGGCACCTGTTCCTGTATGAGAAAGCCTTGGTGTTCTGCAAGAAGCGAGAGGAGCACGGGGATGGCTACGACAAAACCTCCTCGTACAGCTTCAAGCACTTCCTGAAGGTCAGGAGCTTCCAGTTGTGTTTGTGAACCTTGGGGTGTTTTACACAGCCACGTGTATGGCAGAGCAGCAACTCTGCAGAGCCAGGGGGGTTTTTTCTCTGACAAGGGGGCTTGTTTGCTGCTGCTGAGGGCTGTGCTGTCTCACAAATGTGCCACAGCCATGGAAGGCTGGCACTGAATGAACTCTGAGGACCCCCAGAGCTGAGGCAGCAGCTGGGAGAGCCTCTGGCCTGGAGTCAGGGCTGTGACTCTGCCAGGGAAGGGGAGCTGTGCCAGTGCCAGGGGTGCAGAGGTGCCTGGCCCCTGCTCCAGTCCGTGTTCAGGCCTGGTGAGGCCACGGGAGGGTGTTTGTGTCTTCCCCAGCCCACCTGGGGGAGAGCGGCTCCTCCTGCCCCAGGGGCTCTGCCTGGCTGCTCCTGAGCCCTGTTTTCCACCCACAGGGGGATGCAGGGTTAACTCTTCTTCCTCCCCATTCCCTTCTCCTTTGGCAGGTTCCAGCTGCAGCTGAAGGGACAATTACCAAATGACAAGGGCAGCCTACAGCAAAATATGAGGGGTGTAAACAGCTATAAATGCTAACTCTTGTCAATAAAATTCCCAAAGTGCTGCTCTGAAAGAGGTCTCCTGGCATGCTGGGTGTGATGAGCAGTTCTAATATCTGCAATGCCAGGTGAATTGCCTGGTGCCAGGGGAAGCTGATGCAGCTGAGCACCAGCCCAGAGCTTTGCACTAACCCAGCCTGGTCTGCACTGCAGGGATCCAGCAGCTGACAGCAAATCCTGGGCAGGGGGAGGAAATGGAATTTTAGAATCCACTAGCCTGAGTGAACAGACCTTAGATCTGTCTCTTCCTAGCACTTGTTCTTTGCACACCATAACAGATCATCCAAAATTTCCAATAGCTTGATGCCTGGGTGGTTTTGTAGGAGCCTCTATGAATTGCCAAGGCGAACAAGGTGCACAGAGCTGGGAATTGCAGTGGCTGGATGAGGTGCTCCCTGGGCTGCCCTTCCTGCAGCTTTCACAAACTTTTAAGTTTTTCTAAAGCCAAAGTGGAGCCTCATCCCGCTTTCTGAAGAGGAAATGGCTCAAGCTGTGCCAGGGGCGTTCAGCTTGGATGTGAGGAGTGGGCAGGCACTGGCACAGCTGCCCTGGGCAGTGCCCCTGCATCCCTGGGGGGATTTAAAGCCCTGTGGATGTGGCACTTGGGGACAGGGGTGGCCTTGGCAGTGCTGAGGGAATGGTTGGGCTCAGTGGGCTCGGGGGTCTTTTCCAGCCTAAACGTTTCTGTGATGTCAGGAGCACCTCGGTTCCTGCTCCCTGGGGCTGTTCATGTCCCTGAACAGGGGCACCACCTGCTGAACAGAACATTTGTGCATGGCACCTACGCTGTAAATCATCCAGATCTTCCAGACCAAAAGCTCTGGGCACGCACTTATTGTCAAGGAGGAACAGCAGTGTTGAACAGATGTTATTTCTGAGGTTTTGTTTGTTTGTAGTGGATTTGTCTAATCCAGTCTGCGTGAATAATTTATGATAGATGATACCTTTATTATTACATCTGTTCCAAAACATGCAAGTGGAACTGGAGCTATTTTTGACCATCCTTTAATCAGTGAATAATTGCCAGCACACCCTGCTTTAAGGGAGAGGATGGTTCATGTGGTGTCAGGTGTTACACAGTTTTCAGGAGGGAAGTCGGAGGTCTCCTGCTGCTGAAGGGTTTCCAGTCATGGTTTGAGCTTGGTTCAGGTGGGTCCTGAAGGATTTGGGCCTTTGGTGTTTCCATCCAAACCATCAGAAGTGGTTGGGGAGAATGAGTAAAGCAGCACTCAGCTGCAAGCCTGCACGTGTCCTGGAAGCCAGGCTTGGGGCAGCTCAGGCTGTATCCCAGCAATTAACCTGCTTTTGGAAAGAAATAATGCATGTGGATAAATAACATGGATTACAATATATCACACATTTATAAACCTTCATATGCCAAATCTGAGAAATTCTATGCTGAAAGAGGCAGCTGAGGTGAGGCTTCAGTTGGTTCCAGTGGTTCCCAAGTGAAAAGTTCCCAAAGGTCCATTGATCTGTTTTGGAAGGCTCATCCAAAATGCAGCTGATGGAAAGTCAGGGGGAAGGAGACTGATAATGACTTTCAGTTGCCATGTAAATTGAAATTGATGAAACATGTTAAATTTGGGGCAGGCAGGTTTAACATGCTGGCAGAAGTCTGCATTCCTAGGGAGGAGGGAGCTTGCACTGTGTTTATTTTTGTTTGTTTGGATTTGCAGATGAATGCAGTTGGGATAACTGAGAATGTGAAGGGAGATCACCGGAAATTTGAGATCTGGTACAGCGGGAGAGAAGAGGTGTACGTGGTGCAGGTTTGTACCTTCAGAAATCTGGGTGTTTGTGAGAAGAAAATGGTCCACTGACCTTCATGCTTGTAGTGGTAGCTCTACAATTTCCACTGTGCCTTGCCTGCATGTAATGGGAATCACCAATTTTAAAAGATAAAGACTGTTTAAAATTTAGTGGTAGCTTTGGGAAAAAGGGGGATTTCAGATAATTACAGCATAGGAAAGTAAGATTTTATTCCTACATTATAATGGATGACTTAATTCAAAATTCAGACAATTTTCTCTTCTTCCAGGCCCAAACAGTAGATCTGAAGATGGCATGGTTGAATGAAATAAGAAAAATTTTGTTCAAGCAGCAAGAGCTTATAAAAGGTAGATTTGCTCAGTGGCTTTCACTCTGCAGCAGAAGCTTTCTATTGGCACGTTGCTGATCTTCAAGTCACTAATTCTCACGGGAGAATTAATTTTTAGAAGCCTGGTAGCAAAATGCTGGAGTGAGGCCCTACATTGCAGGGAAATAACATGACTTGGAGCAGTAAAAACTGGGTGCTTATGTGAAAATGAGCCACAGAAGTATGTTTTTTGGTTGTCATTACCTTGGGCATTATTTCACATTAGTTATCATCGGTTTAATTCAATGAGATACAAACCAGATGCCTAATTTGAAGCATATCAGGAGCATGCTCAGTGCTGGATTTGTGTTAACATGCCACTTTAATCAGAGTTAAGTCTGTGCTTTGCAAGAGCCCAGAGGTCTTTTCTCTGGACAGAAACCAATAGTGTGGCAGGCACATTCTTCTCTCTCTCAGGATTTTTCATAGAGGAGCACAGAGAGAAGAAAGAGAAAACAATTTCTGTTTCTGCTCCTTGTTTTGCCGTGTGGAATGTGTTTGGAGAATTGTTTACCTGGGATGTTGCTTGGTTGGATTCTGGTGAGGATTGTTTGAGCCTGATGGCCAATCCAACCCACCTGGGGCTGGGCTCTCAGAGAGGGACATAAGTTGTGAGGACTTAGATTTGGTAGTTAGAAAAAATTAGATTTGTAGTTTTAGTATCTCCTTTAAATAGTACATAAATGTATTATAGTACAGTTATAATAAAGAAATCATTCAGCCTTCTGAGCTGGATCAGACACCATCATTCCTTCCCAGCGGATTCTCCTGCATTTCCAATACTCAGGGTTGTACAAAAGGTCTCACTTTTCAAGCAGTGCTTCGGGGGGCGGGGGGGGTGGTTGGTAGTGCAGGAGTGGATTTTAAGTGTGTTTGCCTGTGTTCTAAGCAGCAGGGGAGAAGCAGCAGCCTGGCTCGTGCTCGGAGCAGCTCCCGCTCTCCTCCCAGCCACAGGACAGGTGAGTCCAGGCTGGGCTGGGCCCCTCCCAGTGGGCACCAGTGCCAGCTGCCAGCCTGCTGCTGCCTCTGTGTGACCCTGTCCCTGGGCAGGGGACAGCAGGGCTGCTGCTCACCCTTTGCTGGCCTGGGGACAGGGTCTGCAGGGCACCCTTGAGCCTGGCAGCTCGGCCTGAGCTGCAGCTGCTCTGCAGATGGAGCGGAGCAAAGACAGAGCTCTAATTCAGGGCAGAGACACTGCAGCAACCTCCTTTCCCCTCCCAAAAAGATTGAGTCTCCTTTCCCCTCCCAAAAAGATTGAGTCTCCTTTCCCCTCCCAAAAAGGGGAAAAGAAACTTCCTTTCTCCTCCCAAAAAGATTGAGAGCCAGGCACTAAGTCCTTAACCTTCACAGCTACATACACTAAGAGGTGCCAGTGCAATTTCTGACCCTGTTTAACAAAAGCTGGTGGAGTTGGCTCATCTGTGAAGTGAAGCTAAGCCTGGTTTTGTTTCCGAGCCCCTCAGGAAGCAGCAGAGAGCCTCCATCAGCTCGGAGGAGAACGACTCGGAGCGCAGCAGCCCGGTGCTGCAGGACTGCGGGCTGCTGTCCCCCCAGAGGCAGCCCCCCAAAGGTAGGCTGGCACGGCCCCTGCCTCCCTCCTGGGCTCCCTCCCGGGGCTCCCTCCCTCCCCTCGGGCCGAGGGCCCAGCCTGACCCTGGGCTCTCGCAGGCTGGCCAGGAGGGTCCCAGTCCCTGGAGATCTGCGAGGGGCTGGACGAGTGGTCGGGGCAGCAGTACCTCTCCACCTGCTCGGACACCGAGGAGGAGGAGAACCAACTGGTAGGTGAGGGTGGGATGGCTCTGGGCTTGGGATGGCTCTGGGCTTGGGATGGCTCTGGGCTTGGGATGGCTCTGGGGTTGGGGTTGGGACGGTTTGGGGTTGGGATAACTCGGGGCCGGGATGCTCACCCAGCCTGCCCTGTGCTCCTCGCTGCACAGTGCATCTGTCCTGTCCCTGTCTCAGGGTTTCCATATCTCACTCTGGGGAATGAGAAGATTTCCTGAGAGAGTTTAAATTCTGGTAGCTGGGAGGGCTCTGTCACATTCCCTGCAGCAGTCAGAAATCACAGCTGCATGATGCAAAATGCAGCTGAATAAGTTTTTCTCTCTGCCAGTCTCCAGGAAAATACAAAGCCCTTGCAGACTGCAAGAGGAGAGGCTCAGAGGACCTGCTGGTGAAAAATGGGGATGAAATTCAGCTCTTGCATGAAGATGGTGAGGGACAGTGGTAGGTATTTTAGAGTTCATTTGCCTTATCTCTAAGAGCCTGCAGGGCAGTCCCTTGAAATGTCACTTGCCTGGTGATACACTCATTACAGCCCCTGACTGAGCTTTAGACATTCCAGAAGGCTGGAGAATTCATTCTCTTGCCAAGATGCCATCCACACTGGCTTGGCCTGGGGAAACAAGTCAGGACTTCCCTTGCCACGGGTCTCTGCCCGCGCTGGGTTTTGCCAACACCTTCACAGCCCCTCTTGCCATGCTCTCCCCACTGCAGATGGTGCTTCCCTTTGTCCACCCCAGCTCAGCTCCAGGCTTTGCTCCTCTGGGATTGTTACCAACCACAGTGGGGAACTGGGAGGTGTTTTCCTCCCTCAGACAGCTGTGGGAGTGTTCCCTGCACTGGGGGTGGCTGCAGGCTCTGTGTCTGTCGTGGGTGAAGCTGTGGCTCACAGAGAACACCTCACAGCTGCTCCTCTCCTGGGGCTGGGAGCTTTCCTGGGGCAGGGTCCCCTCCTGAGACCCACAGCAGCTTGGCTGAGCTTTCTGGCTCTTCCCTTTCCAGGATGATGCTGAGCAGCTCTCCCCAGCCAGCCCAGGCTCTCGGCAGGAGGGAGCCCAGTGTGCCCAAGCCTTGTTTGGGGTGTGGGAAGGGTGATGTTGGCAGGAACCTGGTCATGTCTATGCAGGCACCAGCCTGTAAATGCACAGATGTCAATGCCCCGTGCAGGATTCCTGGCTGACAGCTACAGCCCTTGCACTGCAAGGGAAATCAGAACAGGATAAAATAGAATATTTCAGCTGCAAGGGGTCTGCAGGGATCATCTAGTCCCACTGCATTTTGAAAAATTCAGTTTGTTGTTCAGATGCAAAGCATCTCAGGGTTGCTGAAAGTTCACCACTCCTGGGGGCTCCTGCCAGTGCCAAAGATTTCTCACACCAAGCTTTTTGTTAGCACAGATTTCACTGCATGGGTGAGACAGAGGGTTGTCACTTAGGAGGGTTGTCACTCACTATTTCCAGCTACCTAAATCTTGGCTTGAATTTACTTATATTACCCTGACTAAAATCATCCTACCAGTCTAAATGGCAAAGTAAAATAATTGCCCTTGACTTTTCAGTAGCTTTTCAGTAGCCAGTTTTCCTCAGCCTCCTCTGGAGGTCTTGGGCAAGGGAGTCCTGTTCTTCTCCAGTGTCTACAGAGGTGTAGGCTTTTAAATTAGGTTCCTAAATTTAGGTGGGAATGATGCTTTAAATGCAGAGCCAGGTCCTGTTAAAATACTTCTCTGGTTGGAGCAAATTGTTGCCCTCACCAAAATGCTCCTGGGCTGGTTGGCTTCTGTTCCTAATGCTGTTGTCATTCAAAGGTTGGTGAAAAACCTAAACAGAAGAAAAGAAGGCTGGATTCCTGTCCACAGTCTGCAGATTGTAGTCGGTGACTGCAGATTTCGGAATGCCAAAGTTGCAGGTATTTGATAGCACGCCTAGCAGCAATATTTCATATCCCAAATCAGGTCTTTTAAGCCATTTGCATTACACTTGATGTACTAAATCTGGCTGCATATGCCTCTGCTGGAAAGATAGGAAAGCAAGCAGCTATTCCAAAAAGCCTGCAAAAGTAGCAAACTAAGCTTTTTTGTTTGTTTAACACGTTAAGACGTTTCTGAGACTTTAGGCACTAGTAAATTAAAACCAAGCATTTAAAAACGTAGATTTCATTGCAAGAGCGCTGGGTAGAAGACCGGGGAGAAGAGATGGAGTCTGACCAGGGATTCCCAGACTGTTTTCCTCCTCCCTGCTGTAGCCCAAACCCCGTGAGAACAGGAGGCTCTAAGCAAAACCTCCTCCTGCTGCACAAGACATCGTGGCCTGACCCCAGCGCTCACAGGCAATACTTCCTCCCTGCTGCCTCACTCCTGCCCTCACTGCTGCCTGCTGGTCAATCCATCCTTAGATAAATCTGTTTGAAACAGGTGACCGGGTTTCAGCCAAAGGCTTGGATCTCCAAACCCAGAGTTCTCATTTTCTAGCTGGAACTGTACATAGAAATAGGGAAGCATAAGAGATGACACAAGAAAATGCCTTAAGAGCAGCCTGTTGCCCTTGCTGTGTCCACAGTGTCACTGCTGCATGTGTTGCCTCATCACCATGCTGTCCTCTGCAAATGGGAGACCAGGGCTGGAGATGGAACAGCTCAGGAAGCCCACGTAGACTTAGTCCATTAAAAAGAAATTAAAAATCACTAGCTATAACTGTATGAAGCAAATCTCAAAAGGAGTTTTCTCTTTAAATACTTCTTTCTGTCAGAATATTTTTTTATGAACGTGAAGGAAGCCATCTGAAAGGCTTAAAATTCCAGTCAGCTCTTGGTGGTTTTTGGTATATTGCAGTGAAGTCCTTCCTATGCAGGAAGGTATTTTTTATCCCCTTGGTTGCAGGGCAGGCAGATCTCACAGACTGAAGGTTTGCTATTTTCTGTAAGGGGTAGTTTGACCAGTGCTCAGAGTTTGCTGGCAGCCTGTTTTCAAGATGCAGTTATGGCTCCCTTGACCTCTCCATGTATAGCTGCCCCATCTCACCAGAAGGGTTTTCCAGCTCTGAATGCATCTCAAAAAAAGCTGCTGGGAAACTTTGAACCCTGGTTTGCACTGTCAGTGGTCAAATCCCCAAAAACCTAGAGGCTGTCAGCTCTGGACTGGTTTATGAAGTTGCCGAGCACCAGCTGAGGGAATTGCACGGGATGAAGGCACAGAAAATGCCTCCTGTGAGTCCCCAGCACTGCCCAGGCACTCCAGAGCCGTGTCCCAGGCTCTGGGAGCGCTGGGGCTCTGGTTTCCCTGCCAAGGTAACTGTTCTCTCTGCTGTTTCTGACGCTGCCTGCAGTCCCAAGGCACAGTTCTAATCCTGCACACGCTCCAGGAAGCCCTGGGGATGATGCAGGATGTTCTCTTGCTATTTCCTAGAGCTATTCCTGCAGCTCAGCAGCATGTCCTCACAGCCATGAGCAGCTTGCAGTCTGAAAATTGATTTTCACACGGCACTTCTGCACTCAGAATTCCCTTACCCCGGGGGTGGTGACTTCACCCTGCCGGTGACCACGGACTCCTTGGCAGTGGCTGGGCTGGGCTCTCTCCTCTTCCTCAGAAGATGGAGCTCTTGCTCCAGCACAGCCAGGGAGGCTTGGGCAGCCAGGCAGGGGCAGGAGGGAGCCTCGGGTCCCTCGGGGACTCAGAGCTGCTGGTGCTGAATGTTCTTTGCATGCCAGCAGGGTAAACTTGGCCAGCACCTTGTGGGGTCCCCGAGGGCTTGGAGAGGCTTGGAGTCACTTCAGTGCTGGCATTTTGTGGGGGCAGTGCCTGTCCTGCTGCTCAGCTCCAGCTTCCCCTAATTAAAGCTCTGTGTCCAGTCACACAATTCATAGCAGAATTCACACAATTCTGGGCTTTGGGATTTTTTTTTCAGGGCAAAGCCTTTAGCTGAATAGAATCAATCCCTTACTTTCCCATTGCTCCTTAGATTTATCCTCTGGCCCAGCACAGGATGGCTGATGCCTGCATGTCTACAAGCTGTTCCTCTCCCCTCCTGCTAATTATTCCAGTGTTGAGCCAGTACAGATCATAATGAAGTTACAGGGAACTCTTTGCTCTCCTTTTTGAAGTTAGAAGAGAGGTGTTTGGTAAATGCTTCACTTCCCAGCCATTCCAGCTTTGCAAATCCATGGTCCTCTCGTAAATCTTGGCCTGGATATAAGCCATGAGGTTCTCTGGGAGGAAGGTGGCTGGCTTGGAGATCATTTTGAAAATGAATTTTCCTTCTGGTGTGCCTCTAGCTGTAGGTTCTGAGATTAGTCCTTGCTGCTTTCTTGCAGACAGATTTATTCTCTCTGCTGTGCAAACCCACGTTGGATTTTTTAATGTGCATGATGAAGGAGCAGTTTTGTATTGCAGGCAGTAACATGCAGAGCTCAAAATGGGAAATATTTGGACAGAACTGTGCTGAGAAAGGGCAATACTCAGAATGCAGCTCCTGCTTGAGGCTCACCCATGTGCTGGTGGTTTCAGCTGCCTTGCAAGTGGTCAGGCATTGCCTGATTAGCTGACTTGGCTTCTCCATGAGCTAACACAGAGATGCCCTGCCCCTCATGCTGCAATGGCTGCAGCAAGGCTGGTGTGTCTGTGCAGGTCCCTTAGAGGCACTGCTGGTTTCTTCTGGCCTTTGGAGCACAAGGCAGGGTCTCTCCTATGCCCTGCAGTGCCAGCCAGCTTCCCAGAACAGCTTTTTAGTATAAAACTGAATAGCCACAAAACCATCCCCAGCCTGACAGGAGAAGGAGCCTAGAGAAGGTATCAGCTGGCCTGGCTGGATGATGAAGTGGTAGATGATGGAAATGTCACACCCTGTGGTCCTGCCTTAGTCAAGGCTCTCACTGAAGGCAGTGGGAGTTCAGCTTTTAGGGAGGGATGCAGGAGTGCATTTATTTTTTTTCTGTCCTACAAATGTTACATGATTACAGGGAACAATGTATTTCTTGGAATAAAATGCTTTAATATTAACATCATTCTCCATTACTTTATAGATGCTGCCCTGTGTAACACGAGAAAGTTTAGTTCCCCTTGAATTAAGGGTGAACTAGCAGCATCCTATTTTCGATGCTCTTTGGAAGCTTTCAACTCAGTGTTACAGAGAACTAGCACAGTAGTTGGAGCTGTCCTGTACTATTCATCACATTCACAGACCTCCCCAGCTTCATCTGCACTGAGTGGGACCGGGGTCCTAAGCAGCTTCTCATGCTCATAAAGGAGGCCATTCTCTGCCCTTTGTTTCTTTTCGCCTGTGGAAATTCTGGTATTTTGTTAATTTTTCCTGCTGTTTTTCCATGACATACATCATGTTTCATCAGAGAAGTCCACTGCAGTTTCCTGACACTTCGTTTAGATGCTTGAATTTTCTTCTACAGGTTGAAGTAGGTTTTGCCTACTTATTAGCTGACAACTGTTGAAGTTGCAAACAAGAGTTGAGTTTTGGTAAACCAAAAAGAAAAACAAAACCAAACAAAGAAGCTGTATGTCCTGCTTCATTGATTTTATGGGTGGGTTTTTCTTAAATATCTGCTTCAGCTATGTGAATGTAATGTTCTGTAAGAGCATCATCTGGCTGACTCCCATGTGAGGAAGCAATAACACTAAAGATCCTCTTTTTGCACTTAGGGTCTGACTCCAGCCCATTGCAGTCAGCCTCCCTGATTTCAGCCAGGTCTGGATCAGGTCAAACTGACACCTCAGGGTTGTCACCAAGCACTTAGGGTCCCAAAGTGTCCCAGGGCTGAAACCTGTATCTAGCAAGTGTTGAAGTTTACATTAATGTATGTACTTTGGAACACGTGCCATAAATCCAAGCTAAATGTCCATGTTTGCACTAAGGATGTTCTTGTGATAAGACTTTTTCAGCATCTTTAACAATAACGCACCTATTGAATTTTTGAGAAGGGAAAAAGAATGTTGAAGACTCATAGTTTAATTTTGTGTTTCTTTGTCTAGATTTGCTTTTGTAGAGCATAGGTAGGTACAGGTGGTTTGAATTTTAAGCAGATGTGTGCAAAGAGCACCTGAGTGTGTGGAGAGCAGGGTCAGTGGTGTGCATGCAGAATGCATCTGCTCTGCCACAGCCCAATGAAATGTTTACACCACGGACTAAAGGGGGCCCTTTATGATCTGATTTTCTTTGTGAGCCCCAGGCCCAGCTCAGCCGTGCTGGCTTTGGTGTGGGGAATTGCTGAGCTGCTGCTCGGGGCTCCTGGGGCTCCCCAGGATGGGGTGACCCTGTGCACCCCCAGGGCCAAATCTGAGCTGAGCAGCACCAGGACCCAGCACACCCCGGGCACTGGGATCACAGTGCACAGCTGCTAAACCCCTGAAGGTTCTTTTCCTCTACTTTCCAATCAGTCGATGCACTAATTAGGTGGGAAAGGCTTAAGTTACTGCTGGGGCTCTTTACAGTGCTAACTATTCTTGTGGTAACAATTCACATTTTGAGGTACTACTGTAAATATTTGTCTGAAACATAGCACACATTGCATATTGAATGATTTTAATCTTTTTGTCTTCCATAATTTTAAATCTAAGCTTTTATTAATTTATGAGGTTGATAAGTTCTGCAAATCTGAATGTACAGTCTGAGGTTTTTAACATTTGAAACTTTGCACACATGGTATGTTCCCCCGAGTATGCTGTTGAACTAGGCTCTTCATGTGTATGTATAAATTACAGTGGAGACTTTTCTCTGACTGCAAGTTTAAATGAACTATATTGTATATGTACCTGTAAAAATGTGTCAAATCTATATTTAAAGATTAAAAACTTGTTAAATAAATCCATCTGAGACTATGCAATTCTGTTCAAAGACACATCTGCTGTAATTCTAGAGGGAAAAAAGTGCTCACAGTGTTGGTTTTACTTAATTTCCTTGGAACAACTTAAAACCTTCTTACACACATTTTGATTTTAAGGTAAGCAGTGGCAGATGATCCAAGTAGTTTCTTGCTGGATGCAGTGGCAATGAAAGTGACACCTTAGCACTTAGACTGAAATCTGAATGAGCAGCTGCTGACACCCTGCCCTGGCTCAGGGTGTCCCCAATGTGCCCTGCCTCCATCCCAGCAGGGTCAGGGTGTCCCCAGAGTGCCCTGTACCCATCCCAGCACAGCTCAGAGTTTCCCCAGTGTGCCCTGTACCCATCCCAGCAGGGTCAGGGTGTCCCCAGTGTCTCCTGCCTCCATCCCAGCAGGGTCAGGGTGTCCCCAGGGTGCCCTGTACCCATCCCAGCAGGGTCAGAGTGTCCCCAGCCTCCCCTCCATGTGAAAACAGCTGTTTGGGGGCACAGGGGGTGCACTGCTGGGCGTGTTCACCTCCCTCGTGGGCTCCTGCTCCTGGAATGCTGCTGGGGCACCAGTGCCTGCTGGGCTTCCCTTGCCCACACTGCTGTGTGCTAACTGTGGGCAATGCTGGTGGCACACCGGCCTGGGACATGTGTGAACCATTCCCCTGCTGATCCACCAAGCTCTGCATTTGGGATCTGGGGCCTTACACCACCACAGCAGCACCAGTGCATTCAGAAATGCAGCTGTGGGTCATTAAAAGGGCTTTTTATTTCCTTATTACCACATTTGCATTGCATTCTCTTTACTTCTGCCTTCCAAGAGCAAAAGCTATTTCATTTAGGAATGTTTATTGAAATGCAATGATCTCTCAAAGGCACAGGGATTGCCGTGGTCCCCTCCGTGTCCCCAGTCCGTCCTCCAGCCTGGCACAGCAGCGTGGCACGGCGCTGCCTGGGCTCAGGGGAGCCTCGTGGTTTGCTTGATCCACTTGAGGTACTTGGAGACCCTGGTGTAGATGCCGTACTTGCCTGGCAGGGCGCACTCCTCGCCCCAGCTGGTGATCCCCGTCAGGAACCAGGTGCCCTCGATCTCGGAGGCGTAGGGCCCGCCGCTGTCCCCCTCGCAGGTGTCCCTGCCCCCGGACGGGAAGCCCGCGCAGAACATGTTCTGCAGGATGCTGGTGGAGGTGCTCTTCAGGCAGGTGGGCCGGTCCACGAAGGGCACCCTGAGCACCTGCAGGGTGGTGGCCTGGCGGCCGCGGAACAGCACCTTGCCCCAGCCGCTGACCGTGCCCACGCCTTGCTTCAGCAGCGCGTTGGTGAACTCGCGGCTGCCCAGGCAGATGGGGGTGACGTAGGGGTTGAAGGTCAGGGGCTGCTCCAGCTCCAGCAGGGCGATGTCGTTGTGGTACTCGTTGATGGAGGCGTTGTACGTGGGGTGGGGCAGCAGCCTCACCACCCTGCGCAGCTGCTCCGTGTGGTCGTCGCTCCTGGTGTCATGTTCACCTGCACACACCGGCGGCCTGGCTGGGACCGTGCCCAGCACCGTGCCAGCCCAGCCCAGAGGCTGCAGAGGGCTGAGCCCTCGGGGCCCTCGGACTGCTCTGGCCAGGCTACTGGCTCCTCTCAGAGGCAGCTCCAGGTTCCCTTGCCTCCCAGGCCCCAGCACAACCCAGGTGTGACACCAGGCACCCATTGTCCAGGCACCACCAAAAGCATCAGGCACCAAAGATGCAGATGCTTCTGCCAGAGTTAGCAGCAAAGCGGCTTTTGGGGGTTCAGCACCCTCACAGAGAGGTAAGGGGATGTCACCCTTGCAGCAAAAGGGGCAGAACTCGCTGATGAAAAATACAGATTTAAATAAATCATGTATTAGTAAAAAATAACCTCAATCTGTCCTTTCTAAACCCACCGGCTGCCGCCCGTGCCCGCTGCCGCCCGTCACCGCTGGCACTGCCCAGTGCCCATCCCTGCCCCGCTGCCCAGCACCCACCTGCCACAGCAGTGATGTTGTGGGTGTAGCCCGGCTTCAGGCAGTGAGCTGCTGTCACCAGCCACTTCTCGTTGATGATGGATGCGCCGCAGAAGCCGAAGCCTTCGCTGTTCACCAGCAGAACCTGTGGGAGCAGGGGCAAATCACTCTGGGCTTGTGTAAGCCCGCAGCAGTGGAAGGCGGCCCTGGTCACAGCAGGGGGTTGGAACCAGGTGTCTTTAAGGTTCCTTCCAACACAAACTGTTGGATGATTCTATGATCTGCTGAAACTGCTGGTGACAAAAAATGAGTTGCATCTCTCCTTGCAAAACTCCCTTCCCTCCGCCTTCAGCTTACTTTTGGGATGTTTATGGACTACGGGGCAATCTGCTGCTGTAGCCCAACCAGGTAAAGCTGCTGTGACTGATTCTGGCTCTTTGCCAGAGGAGAGCCCCATGCAGGCAAGTTTGCTTGCTGTGGTGTAAAATTGTATATGGAAAGAAGCTGTGCTCCTGCTAGGCTAGAGACTAGTGCAAGTCTAAGCTCTGAGCCAGGCTTTGGGAATTCAAAAGTAAGATGATCTGTACTCAGAAGGGACTGCTGGGGTTACAGGCTTGCAGACAGAGCTGGTACCTGCCAGGGCACCTCTCCCTTCATGCTGTCCGACCCGCCGACAACGCGTGTGCCCGTCCTGAGCACGGGCGTGATCCTGCTGGGGGCAGGGGTGCTGCTTTCCGTGGCGTTGTCCTCCCCAGGGCCATCCTCAGGGTCATCTCCCGTGATGTTCCAGTGCTCAAAGGTGTTCATGGACCGGGTGAGCTTCCTCTTGGCCTCGGGAGCCGTGATCCTCCCGCAGGGGTACGGCACTGGGGGAGGAACAGCACAGCTGGGACCGGCTGTGTCACTCACAGCCACCTCAGCAGGGCGAGGAGGGAAACCCTGCTCACCTGGGCACAGCCTGGGACCAGCTCAGGCTGGGGCTGCCCAGTGCTCCCTGTGCCCTGAGGCCGCAGTGCGAGCCGTACGGACAAGGAGCAAAAGCACCGATTCTTTCTGGGCCTTGGAAACGTCATCTGAACAGCTTTACAAGTGAAAGAAGCTTGTGCTGAGCACCTGTGCCTGATGGGCTGGGGCAGCTGTGCCTGCTCGTGGCAGGATGTGTGCTGCATAGCTGGGAATCCTGCACTGGGCATTTCACAGCAGTGACTCCACAGCAATAAGCAGCCAGCTGGGAGAGGGCAGGAAATAACAGCTGCCAATTGTACAGATAATCCTGCTTGGCACCAGGTGAGGAAAACATTAATAACCTCTTCCTAGAGCTGTGTATTGTCTCTGCTAATGAAGAACTCATCTGTAGACTCGTTTCAGACAAGCTCTTCCCAATCCTCTCCCACGCGGTGTGTACAGAATTCCTGCTGGTGGTGGCAGTCAAAATAGTAAATAGCACCAGGCATTGTCTTTCATCTGAAAAGCTCTCAGAAGCGCTGAGCAAACAAACGCTAGTGTAAAATCAGATGTGAGTGTGGCCTATTGAGACTTCATCCTCTATTTTTAAACAGTTCACTTTAGGGACAGGACTTGGATGAGTGTTGAGTGATGGAAAGTGGTAGCTGTGAGCTTAGCCTATGAAGTGAAGATTTCAGAGCCAACAAAAGGAAGCTTTTGCAGGAAGGACAAACACCCAACCTGAAAGACAATCTTCTTGCTAACTGTAAACCTTTCTGGCCCAGTGAAAGTGGTGCAGCATGTGGGGCAACACAGGCCTGAGCTCTTGAGATCCTCTGTTGACAGGATTCCTGACCCAGGATACTCCCCAGAGTGCTGACAGGCAGCAGAGTCAGGCAGTCAGTGTTCCCTGCTGCAGCTGGCACAGCTACCCTGTGCAGGTACCTGCAGGTGTAGTGGGTGTGTAATCCCACTGCAGTCAGGTGTTGGAAATGTGACAATATCAAATGTTCAGCTGAATTCAGATGACAGAATATTTATCTGCTCACTCTCTTCTCTGCCAGATGTGCTTCTGAGATGCTCACAGCCAATTAATTTGCTGTGTTGTGGTGGGTCAGTGTAGTTACAGGTGGTCTAGGGCGGGGCAAAGCTGGGGAGCACAAGGAGAACCAGCTGTTCTTTAGTCCTTTGTGAAGCTGCAGCCTCAAGAGCTGCATTTTCCTTCCATCCCACCCAACAGCTAAGCCAGAGTCCAGCTCTCATTGAGGATCTCTGCAGACCCACCCTGCTGGGGGGACAGCACCAGCACAAAGCTTCACTTGTAACCACCCAACTTGGATTACAAGACACTGGGTCATGGCCAGCCATGAAATAAACCATCAGGAGGGTTTACAGTAATCAAAATCTGCTTTAGTTCTGGGAAGTTCAGAGCCTCCTCAGTGCAGAATCAGTAACTATTAGCTCACACTGGGAGAACAGGGGAGCGAGCCTGGCTGGGTGCTGGGCAGCTGAACATCACCCTCCTCCCTTCAGAACATTTCTGATCCGTGTCCAGAGCTGTCAGATGCTGGAGCCTGTCTGAGCAGCCATCTGAGACAGCACTTGCCTTTGAACAAATTCCT